CAAGAAGGGCAGAGCTGACATCATCTCTTTGTTGGCAGCAACAGGACCTGAAGGGATGGCATGGAACCACCTCAGGGGAGGGTCAGATCTGGTATCAGGAAAATATTCTTCATCAGAAGGGTGGAAGGCACCTGAACAGGCTCCCCAGAGCAGTGGTTATATCGCCCCAACCTGACAGAGTACAAGAAGTGCCTGGACAATGGTCTCAGTCATACGGTTTGATTTTTGGGTGGTCCTGTGTGGAGATAGGAGCTGAACTCAGTGGACCTTATGGATCTCAGGATATTCCGTGATTCTGTGATTCCTATTTAAATGCCAGTGAGCTCATGGCTATAACAGAAAGCAGTGCACTCAGAATACGGTTCTGAGCGTAGATGAGCACCACCAACTCCAGGAATATATGAGATACAATAAATGGAAAGAACATTCACAGTCTCCTTGAGGTGAAAGTTTACTTTGAAGGCTGACAGAGCACTGGAAGAAGCTGCCTAGAGAGGCTGTATCTCCTTCTCTGGAGATACTCAAAACCTGACTGATGTTTTCCTGTGCAACCCACTGTAGGGAACCTGCTCTAGCAAGGGGGTTATGATGATTCCCAGAGGTCCTCTCCAACCCCTGTCAAATCATTCTGTAATTCTGTCATTATGAATGACTGCTGTGACCTTCACAATTAATCACGTACCAACTGAATGTGCACAGCCAACCTTCAGGATAGCAAATGCCACTCTGCAGCTGCTAGGCATGTGCAAGGAGCAATGCTAATCTGTAAAGGAGCTTTGTACAGGTCTAAGATCTATACCTCAAGCAAAGCACTCCAGGAGGAGCTTTTGTGAGAATTTTGCACAAGACCAATAATCTGCACTTACCTCCTTTGCTACAATCAATTTAAGAACATGAATGCAATAGGACAGTGTCTCAGATAGCTATCACAGAAAACAGAGCACAGATACCAAACACAGCCCATCCTTTCTTTGCAGTTTCAGAGAATGTTTGTTCCTGGCACAAGTATTTGAAAATATGAGTTAGAACTTGAATCCATAGCTTGGAAAAAGATTCAGTGGTATATATGGAGAGGAAGAAATCCTAATACAAAATGATTTATACAATGTCTCATGAAATGGCTTTCCCTCAGTTGTTTTTTCTACAAACTAAAATCTCACTAGATGTGTTTGCACTTCAATAAACTTCACTTCCTAAGGCATTTTGAATATGGAAACAATATTCAAAACTAATGCTAAACAACTTAGCTAGTTTTAAGAATTTCGGTTGTTGTCATCTTAAACCATTTTTTTAATGTTAAATATCAGTGTGCAAATAAAATAATGGTCATTGTATTTAACAATAAAATTACCAGACTCCTGGTGGTGATGCTGCAGGTAAAGAGGTTCTAATTTAAAAGCACCAATTAAATCTGATCTTTTTTTCACCCTGTATGAAAGGAAGACAAAAAAAAAAAAAAAAAGAGAGAAATGTAAGAATTAAAATTTAAAGCATTAGATTTCCAGAAGCAAAGAAAACTAAATGTATTTAAACTGGCATATTTCCTGAGCACAGCCTGTGCCATTTTCAGTACTTTTTCACAGCAATATCAGTACTGTACTTACAAGCAGTAAGTGTAAGGCTCAGCAGGAACGGGCAGCATGACTGCATAACTGCATGTTTAAAAACAGATAAGAAACAGACGCAGAGGATCTTTTTATGGTGATAGACAATCACACCAGAATGTGAGACTAGTTAAAGCAATGTTCATGTTTGCAGTCAACAGAAGTTGCCTGCAAATTACTGCAGTACAAAGCAGTGTGGGAAGAGCTGTCGCTTCCCAGACATCATGCGGAGCAGGGCTGGGGCTCTGAGGATGCTGCCGCCACTGGCATGGTGTAGCCACCTCAGAGAGAAAATAAGCTCAATTTCACCAGTGGGAAGCACTCTATGCATAAGGCTGACTCACCTCTACAAAGGCAGGCAGAAAGAACTAGAATTCAAAAAAGGAAAAACCACTACGTAATTCCATTAGGCCTATGAGTATTTCACAAAGCAAGCAATAATTACTTCAGTGTGGGGGTACTCTAAACAGCAAAAGTCCTAACCTTTTGTCATTTTTTCTGTATCCTTTTTTATGTTCTGGTTGTTCTTTTTTTTTTCTTTTTTTTTTAATGTAAAATTGCACATGAAACTACTCATATGAAACATTTTATACACACAAACCTTCATCTCACTTTAAGAATAAGGAAGGCACCAAAGTTACTTTGACTTCAGGCAGTCAAGCAGTATCTAGCTGAAGATACATAAGTTTATGCACATTTTAAAATAGTAAAAGACATTCAGAATATTTCTGATTTTATATATACACATATATATATAAAGAACTAAACTACTGTCTAAAAGCGATTTTAATTAGGTTAAATATTGTAAAAAATCTCTAAATTGCTCTATTGTGTTCATATGTTTGATGACTTTGATATATTTGTGTAGCTCATTCCATAGGCAACAAACCCAAGTTATAAACAGTTTTATTAGTTGTATTCTGAGATATTCACTCCTTCTCCTGTAATATGCTGTGCTAAACAATAAAACAGATAACAACTATGCAGGAATGTCTGTTCAGTTAGAAGATATTAACATCCCTATCAAGTGTGGATTGATGCATGGACTGCTATTAAAGTGGCATTAGTGATCTTTGTGATGTTGCTGCATTTTTAAAAGATGGTAGCTGTTCCAGCTCAGAGTTTGCAGATCATAATCTGGCAACCATAAAAAACTATCTAATAGGATTACTAAAATAAATCCAAAGCTTGGACATAAATGTATATCAATCAGTTGAACTGCGCCTCTATACACCCTGTCTGGATTTCACCCTTTGTGTTTAACCTTCTTTGCAGTAAGTGCTTGTGTGGTCTGGTAACAGAGAGAAGAGGTATTCTTTACTTTCTCTGCAAATACCCAAGACTGACTGAAGAGCCCTGAACATATATTTCAAAAATTTTCTTCATAAACTTGATTTTTTTTTAAAGTTTGATGTGATAATAATAGGCTATTAAGATCTATTTTCAATGCCATAAAATTCACATATTAAGTATGCATAACTTGAAATACATAGTGAAAGTTATAGTGGATAAAGCGGTGAAAATATGTGAAAAGGAAACAATTTGTATTGCACATTGCAAGCTTTCAGCAGCCTCATTCTATTCTGTATATTTTAATGATGATTACAATTTTAATAGATTAAAAAAAAACAAAGATGGCTTAATATTACAAGCCAGCAAGAACACTTTGCTTCCACTTACAGAAGAACATTTCCTATTAGCACCTACCCTTAAACACAAAACAAACTTTCTGAACAAAAGTTGACACTTGAACCCTGAAAAGAGCAATAGAAAAGCAAAATTAACAAGACTTTTGTAAGAAGATTGCTTTTACTCTCTCTGAAAGAAGAAATTTCTTCTTTTATAATATTCCAGAGCACTGACTAAACAGGCCAGACAAAACTGCCTGGTAGTTTCAAAGCAGAGTATTTTAAAAGACCTCAATATATAAATTATAGAGAACATACCCTCCTAAGAAACATTATATTAAATTCCTTTTTTTTTTCCTTAAGATCTGTGTTTGTTTGTTTGTTTGTTTGTTTTTGTACATCAAGAAGTTTTAGAATATTTTGCAAAAGACTGATAATGAAATTACGTCTAAATCCCAGATGACATCAGTGCATCATAGTGCACCAAGTAGTTAAATAATTATGTTACTGATCTAGTGGCTGGATTTTCTTCATCAGCTTGCAAGGAAGAGAAATGTATTCATTGGAGAAAGTGCTGAAACCACCAAATAAATGGGGGTGAAGTAGAAACCTTCAGTGGAATTCAGTTTGACTTTGACATGTTATTTCTTGAACTCTATCTGTATTATTACAAAATCGTGGTTAATACTTCCCATGGATCCTACAAGGACTATGTAGCTATCACGTTTATTTCTTCCTACCAGGCTCCTTCATCCCTTATCATCACATTCCAAATGAATTTTCATCTTTTTAGTCAGCATTACAGGCCAATAACAGAAGTGAACACCAGGTATAGGCCTCAGAAATAGTTGGTCTTTTGGTTACATGTATGACTTCAAGACAAAGAGCTTGACTTCAATTATATACCTCATTCCATATCAAGCAAATAACACCAATATATAAATGCCTTGATGAAACAAAGCTTTAGTATTAGGAGTATTAGGCTACAGTTGTGCAGCTTTCAGTAAGGAGACTTTTGGAAGGTCTTTTAAGATTCCTTGAAATGAAATCTTCATACCTACAAAAAATATGTATTCTATGTCATGATTCACAAAAAAAAAAAAAAAAAAAAAGGCAGGAAACAAAATGGAGAAATGCACTTCGAAAGTATACTCCCTTACATCTGAAGTCTAAGATTTGATAGGGAAAAACTACAATCTCCTGAAATGAAAACATAAGTATGTTTGTATATATCTAGATTTCCTAGAAGACTAGGTAAGAAGTGCTAACATGATTGCACAAGGGTATAGGTGAGAGCAGAATTAATGAGAAATTTAACTTGTAGGGACAAGACTGGCTCCTAATTGTCCTGCAAACATTAAAGAGAATGATGATGAATTTTATCATTTCTGAGAGTGGCTACTTTGCCACCAACATCTTCAAATAGCAGGAAAAAGATGGGAGAAGTTGGCAAAGGAGTCCCATCTTCTCCCTGTTTTCGTACGAAGAGACAGCTAGTTATGAGGAACTTACAAACTGGAGCCTTGGTTAATCACTGCCATTACTAATGAATGAGTTGAATCTAAGCTATTTATCTAAGGAAGAGAAAAAAATAGGCTTGGGATATTTGAAGTGTTTACGTCAGAAACAATCTTACATTCAAAAATGTACCATATAAGCTGAATAATACGCATATTTGTGCAAATGTCAACTTTGTTAAGAATTTCAAAGGAGCCAAAGATTAACCAAAAGCAACTGAATAACCACTGTCATGCTTCTTTTCTTCCAGGAAAGGGTGACTTTTTTCTCGATGACGTCTGAAAGTTTTCTTTTTAAAGTAAGTTTTCAGTTCTCCCTCCTGATTCAATTCTACAAAAATCTTCAATTATAACTGAAAGTGATGTTTTAATTTATCTTGATAAATAGTCTGCATTTACTGATCTGCTGTTTTGATAATAAGACCCATTAGTCATGATGCTGGTAGACATTAGGTTCTGGAAATTCCACTCTGGGAAACAATAGGATCATCTATTATGGAATGTTATTACTACTGCTGTGGTTAATTTGCTTTGTTTCAAAGCATGTCTACAGGTTTCTACACTAGCATCCTTTCATATCAAAATGTAATCTCTGCTGTCATCTGGGGAAATTGGAAAATCAGTACCAAATTGCAAAAATACTCCTTTTTGAAATTAACTGCTTTTCATCAGGTAAATCACAACCATTCTTAGAGAAGCTTTTGAAAGAATCAAGGCTCCGACATGAACCTTAATGAAAAGGAAGAAAAAGATCTGTGAAAAAGACGTGTGTAAAGTCACATGTCACGCGTGCTTGTTCTCTAAAACACAGTGATGGTCAGAAATGTCAATTCAACCTACTCACATGTGTGCGTGTTTCTGAAAATATATCTTTTGTTTTTAAGCAGACATGTAAGTTTTCTTATTTAATTATTAAACTTGGGCTTGTGTTGTTTCATAAATTACTTTAAGTTAGCACATTCACTTCAGAAAAAATGGAATTCATAGACTTGCAATCAGACATTCACCTCAAAGAAAAAAATGATCATATCTCTCTACTAGACTTGTATAAGCCCTCTCTTATCAGAGAAGAATACCCCTCGCTTCACAACCACACCTTATTTATGTCAATGCTTTTTGGCAGTAGATAGAATTGTGAACAACTGTTTTCAAGGATAAAGCACAGAAGGAGTAAAATTACATCAAAAATCTCTGACGAGCACCTTGGGAGCTCAGTAAGAATTGCAGCCACTACCATTGAACCAGTCTGATGCATTAGTTCCACAAAAACAAAGCCACATATCCCTCTAGTTTTAAATTTTTTGGCCCTCTTTTCCTCCTTTAAATTGTACTTGTTATAAAATTGGATTATATTAGAAATAGAGAATGTTGTAAATTACAAGAGTTAAAGCTATCCACAGCTCTTTTTGATACAGAAGTGTAAATAAACATCTATTACTAGAAAGGTGGATTCATTTAACATGTGGTTTTTGTATTTCATAACATTTCCTTTTTCTATAATACTCACCACATAGCAGAGCAGTCAAAATTCACTAGGAGCCATTTGTGGGGATTAAAATTAAATGAATCTGCAAACTGAGAACAGATCAATAAATAAGAATTATGGAAATGTGCCAATGATTTAACTTAATCAAATTATCTGAGTACACCTTAACTATGAATGCATTCCCGAACAGGGGCTTTTTAGGTAACATTCATACTGATACCACCTTACTTATTAACTACTGCAGTTATATCTTGGTTTCATTTCGGGAATTGAATTTAGGTTTATTATGCAGTTAAACTACTGTTATCATCAAAATTTGGAGCATCTGCTAAGAATTACACCTTTCAGATAAGTATGGTATGCGGAAGTATATATTTCAGTATAAACTAAACAATTTCTCACATAACAAACACAAACATAGTCAGCAATAGCTGCTGCAGTTCATATCAAATTTCCAAAGTGATTGACTAAGCTTTCTATTTCCAAGATTATTTGACATATAAACACAAAATTCACGTAGAGAAACAAACTATATATTTTGTTCAGAATCTGTGGATCACGTTTAGCCATCAAATTACAAATGATTGGGAAATTACTTCTTTTTTCACAGCCCAAGTATTCTCTTTTAGTGGAAATCATCTTTTCTAAAGCTGAAAGAAAAAAGTGTACATAGAACAAACAGGCACTCACAACACATTATATAAATCATGGGAAAGGCCAGTTTTGGCATCATCAGAGGAAACTCAGGTGAGACAGACATCATGTGGAAAAGGCTTCTTCTGTAGGCTGTGTGTTAAGAAAGGCAGAGGCAATCTGCCATCAAATGTAAGGAGAGATGGGGGCCTAGAAGCACCAAGGTCTGACTACTCCATGCAGCACTGTTCATTCTCATTTGCTTCTCAGAACCTTCCTTGTCACTTGTAAACAATTAACAATTTATCTCATAAGACATTATCTTTCTGCTACTGATCTATCTCCTCACACTGCACAAGGCAAGAAACCTATCTGTGGTTGTTAAATATTTACTTTTATGGCAAATGCTGGACCAGACAAGGGATGCTGTTTCATTTCCTTCAGGAACCAATAACAGTAAGTTAAAATATATCCCCCCACAGGAAATTACAACAAGCTTCATTTGCTGATAAAAAAGAGACAGAAAGAAATGCTTTATTTGCTGGGGGGTGGGGGGGAGGGGTTCCCTCCTCTTCTTTATTAGTCACTATCTATCTGTGCTGTGTTTGAACTTCTGCCTTCACCAAACAGCAATATTTTCTCCACTGACATGGAAGACAAGGACTTATCTGACTGCCCGAGGGGAGCAGCAGGAAATTGAAGTATCATTATCTAAGCAACTGAATGCCAAGTAGCTTAGCAAGTGAGGGGAACAGAAGGGACACAAGAACTGATGGGGGAATATTTCACTTAGCTCTCTTGGTTATTAAACTCTCTCTTTTTGAGATACAGCTACTTGCTGTATTCTACGTGACTCTCACGATGCAAGTAAAAATCAGGCATAATGAGCACATTAATTTTTTTTTCCTTTTTTTTTCTTTTTGTAATATAGAATTAGGGTGTTACAGATGTGCTCTTCTTGAGGGTATTTGGTTTACTACCATTTGCCATTCTTGAGTGACTTTCACATACTGTAATAATTTGCATACTTCCAGAATAAACCAGTAGTACATAAACATAAGTAAGGTAAAAGAACATGCAGGGATTTGTAGTGCAAGCTGAAGTGCAGAATACTTTGAGATTCTAGAAAAGCCATTAATATTGGATGTTTCTTTAAACAGGAAGAGCCTACAGAAGAGCAAGGTTTTAACAGGTGGCTCACTTCACCTCCACTCCATTTAAAAGATGCCTGAATTCAGGACAGATGAATGCACTCCCAGCATAGGCTGCATCAATATGCATCCAGATGTTTTCTTTATTACCTAAAATAATAATTGAATGAAAAATAAATTAAACAGAAGATTAAAAACTGTAAAACAAAGTTCTTGAGAGATTTTCTTTGATGCTAGTATTTTTCCAACTTAAACTTAAGACATGAAACATTGCTGCTATTTGGGTTTCCATTACTACTTTAAGATGTGTACACAAAATGTTATTCTTCCTGTCCAGTTTTTCTAGAGCAGCAGAGTCCCTACATATTTAGGTTTTTCTTATTACTGTTAAGCAGTATAAAATACTAAACAATTTTAATGGAAGAACCACTAAAATATACTTAAAAATATGTATCTAGAATGTAGTTATTCATTCCTAATTTAATAACACCACATTAGCAAAAGAGAGCTAGAGTTCTAGCTCTGCTCCCTGCTTTTAACTCATAAGTCACAAATAAACACACCTTTTTAAACAGGTTTTTGTCACATACTGATATGCACATATACAGGCTTTTGAACCATGTGAAACTACTTCTTTTGAGGACTGATACACTTAATCAAGAGCAAGTCCTAAAAGGTTAAGAAAGGACCAGTTTTGATTACTCACTGCAGAAATACTTCAGCATTTGAGCAGCTCATGTACCTTCTGCAATTACATAATCACACTCTGCTATTAATCCTCTGTATTAATTTACACTGTAAACACGCTAGTCCATGAACTGATGACTGAAGCCCACTGGTCACAAACTAATTCTAATGCATATTTGTACATGCCATTCAGATCTGCACTGGGGCATCAAGGTCATGCAGGAATTTGCATTCTTGCAAACTACATTTTGCATAATATTATTATTTTCATCATCAAAAGAGAGGTGGCCATGCAACCTCCCTCACCCTCATTCCCATCTACTCTGCACTCCTGAGGGAGCATCCAGGTCTTGGCCCCACGTGCCAGAAATACGTGGAGCTGCTGGAGCAGTTCCAGCAGGGCCATGAATATGGTCAGATGGCTGGAACACTTCTCCCACAAAGAGAGGTTGAGGGAGCTGGGCCTGTTCAGCCTGAAGAAGAAACGGCCCAAGAGAGATCTCATTGCAGCCTTTCAGTACCTAAAGGGAGCTGACAAGGAAAGGGGAGAATGACTTTTCAAATGTATGGATAGTGATAGGACACATGGGAATAGTTTTAAACTAAAAGAAGGGAGATCTAGATCAGATGTTAGGAGGAAATTCTGCACTCAGAGGGCAGTGAGGCCCTGGCACAGCTGCACAGAGAAGCTGTGGGTGCCCCATCCCTGGAGGCGTTCAAGGCCAGGTGGGACGGGGCCGCCCTGGGCAGCCTGAGCTGGTGGAAGGTGTCCCTGCCCACAGCATGGAAGTTGGAACTGGATGGTCTTTAAGGTCCCTTCCAACCCAGACCATTCTATGATAAGGTAGTCTTATTTGAAGAAATGCTCAAAGCTCATTTGATTATTTATTTTTGGCTGCATTTGGTTTGAGACACTGCCTTTATTTTATAGGACTTCTGGTCATTTATGTTAACAAGAAGATTCCTCTACACAAACATAAATAAATAAATAAAATTTAAGACTAAATTTTTAATTTAAGACTTATGATGTGATTAGTGTGTAATCCTGCTGGACTCCATTGCATGAGCAGGAAGACACTGAGAGCACTTTGCAAAACAGTCACAATTAATTGCTATCCAAGGAGTATTGGTATTACTGTTTTAATAGATCAGGTCTGTAGGAATCCTCTGAAGAGCAAAACAATTTCAAGCTGCTAAGCAGGTCACTAGAAAACCTTTTCAGAAAGGAGAACTAGAACACTGAGTCTTTGGGGGTTGAGCTGAGAAGCAGGGAACTTAAAGCACATCACCACCGCCTAAACTCTGTTTTAGGCTCTGCTTGAATAAATGAACAAAAGATCAAAGTTCCATGCCTATAAATAGCCTGCTCTAAAGATACACTGAAATATATATGATGCAATTCTGTCAAATTTTCATCAGCCAGCAAGTGTATTCATTTGACCAACCTTCTTTGCAGATCACAGCTTGCCTCAGCAGATCATTAACTCAGAAAACACAGGAAAAGCCCATGGCTTGTCCACTGTATTCAGCACACTGGTACCTGTCCTGTCTTCTTGTAAGAAGGAAATAGCATAGAAGAGAGGAAGGACTACAAATACATTTGGATTTTTGGTGCATAATTTCCCTGCCTTCTGTAGTCATTAGAACCAAACAGAAACAAAGCTTTGGGTGCAAAGGAGACTCAGAGGTCAGCTTTTCCATGATCTTCTCCATTGCTCTAGACAGACAATCTTGGCATGTAAAGGCCTAAATGTTACAAACTAAAATACAGTGTGTTTTCATTGAAAGCATTCCAAAATGCTCCTTCAAAAACCTTGAGGCAATGTCCTCAGTCTTCTTTAGTGGTCAGAGACTGTTTGATCTAATATTAGAAAGAAAATTGTAACTTAAAGTCTCGTCTGTAAGTAGCTTTACTGAATTCAGGCAGTGACACTACGCAATACCCTGGAAATGACTCAGCACAGCTTAAGCTGGTATCTGCAATTTTAGAAAGTAGCAGCTGATAAAGACTTACAAATAGGACCCAGTTCTAGCAGTTTGTCAAAGGAGCAGCAAGGTGTGGTTCCAAGCGTTGCACAAAACTGCAGAACCAAAAAAAGAAAAAAGAAAAAAAAAAAAGGCAAGAAACTGTTAAGTGTCACAGCAAAGAAAATTGTCAAGTCAGAAGACCTGTCTGGAAAGGCAACTGTAAAGAGAAAGAGTAGATATTATAGGATAAAATCGTTTGTTTTTAACCAATACGTGTCCTACAGTATAGCTTTTGTGAATCTAGGAGGTTTTTTTTCCTCAAAGCTTTCCTGCTTCTTATGGAGCCAAATGCATAAAATCAAGTGTCCTTATAAAGTTGTCTGATTAATCAGTCACAGTATTATATTAACAGAAATTTTATATATTTTCTGTATTTGCCACATGTTTATTATGTGGCCCAATTCCAGTCCCACATTCAAAATAATCATCAAAATGATTTTCAGTTAATGCTATACTGGAAATCTCTGAACTTGAGCAAATTAGAAGTTACTGCCTGAACTGAAGAGACTCAGATATTTGTAACTGATTTACACGCCAGGTATCAGCAGCCTGGGACCTGTCCTCTAGTAGCTTATGTTCACTGTCAAGTTTGCAAAATTTAATCCCATTCTAAACTTTTTCTCCTAGGTTCATCCTAGAATTGTGTTAATTTCTCACTAAGCGTCTCCTGCTGCAAGACCAAAAGCAGGGCAACATAAAGACTGAAGAAAGTATCACAGTAGTAAAAGAATGTAATGAGGTGAAAATGAGCTACAGTAATGTACTGAGAAAATCCAGATAGAGCTATAGCCCAGAAAATTCAAGCACATTTAAGCTGACATTTTATTTTTTATTGCTCCCCTTACATTTTAAACATCTAGTCTTATTTTTGTAACTACTGATAAAGGCTGGGAGTCAATTTTGCCTTGTATGAAATCATTATATGATAAAATACACTTTACAGTTTGCATAGACAAATAAATTATGCTGTTTTATAGTTATAGAGTTATAGTTATAGAGTGGTACGAAGTAATTAGATCGTTCATCCAGGGTTACACGTAGATCATAGCCCAGCCAGATGACTACGAATACATCACCAAAATTTTGTAACTGTTATTATGTTTGTACTTGGGGTTTTATTTGGCTGTTATTCATTTGTTTCTGCCAACACTGTCAATGCACCATCTTCAGTTTCCTCTGTTTTTCCCTGTACACCAACAGTTAGCCATGTTTTGCAGAGGTTTTCTACTGTGTGCATATGCAATTCCCCCCCAAGAACTCATGAGAGATCCTGATAAAAGAATAATGAACACCTATGTGATTCTTGTCCATCTACTACACCGTTCAGAAAACAAACACTCTGTCTTAGCAAAATATACACACAGTTATATGTTACAAGTTAGTTCATACAGTGCATTTGTGTCACACAGCTCCATAATGGGTAGACAGACAGGGCCTTTGGGTTCAGGAGGAGCAGGGGACTTTTCCAATGAAACTACCAAGAGAAAGAGCGAACTACAGACTTAGCTCTGCTCTTATGCATAGATTTTATAATAATAGGCAGTGGACTTTCTGATAAGATTAGAGTGAATTGCAAGTCAGTTCGGCAATTAAAGTAATCACAGTGATTTCACAAGAAAAACTTAGAAACAGTTGTTATTTGTGTTGTACTGCAGCTAAATCAGTGCCCTCTGATAGTGTAAGGAGTATGCTGTTTCCATGAGAGGTTATATGAATTCAAACATATGCTTAAGTCATTTGAATAATGCCTTATTCTGTAAAGGATACCCCAGTTACTGAAATAATTTTGTTGTCCTCTCTGTAATGTCTAAGCCTCAAAAGCTACTTGTTTTAATTCTCAGAAGCCACTTAAAATGACAGCACCTGCTCTTGTCATGGCTCTCATTACCCTGCCTCAGTGCTAACCAACAAACCTAACTGAATTTGTAACCTGTACAACATCAGGAAAATCACATTTATGCAGGGGGCGGGGGACAGGCTGAATCACAGAAATGGGGCTGAAGGCTTAGTATAGCCTGAAGGCCTTCTCCATCCATAGGTTGTGCACTTCAGATTTGCCTCAGAGTCAGCTGCATATGCAAAGCAGCTAAAATGCTTGAATCAGTCTTTGCACATATTACTTTCCTGAAATTAAGTTATGCTGGGGATAATACACGAACCTTTATGAAGCCTGAGAGCAGTGACTCAATCTTCGACTGGAAGACCTCTGACAGCTTCTTAAAAAGATACAGATACATTTTGCATACTTTCACCACAAAAATTTCCATTTGCAGTCCACTAAATTGAGGCAGAAATTCCAATGTTCTTACTTTTATTTTCTCCAACTCAGCTCTTTCCCAGCTTGCACTCATGTAGCGTGGGTTAAGAAACATTACCCTGGGTATCTGTATGTGCCTCAAGAATACTCCTTCCAAATGGAAATCTGCG